CTAGTAAAGAGATTCAGATTTTAACAATATGTCCTCTGTCAGGATTTATGGATGGATGGGCAGGATTCTTTACAGTAGGAGTCTGTGACTTTTTGGCCATAAATTTCAACAATAAACAAACAGCACACAGTCCAATTGTTTTAAAATAATACATTAAGACAAATCAAACGTATACACGTATGTTCGTTACACTGCTGGTTATTAAAGTTGTATCCAGAGCTTTAAATAATTGTCTTTTTTCGTCAAAGTCCACACAGGCTAGTTCAGCCACTTTAGAACACAACTTACAAGACAAATTATTTCTTCTCTACTCTGTTATTACAATACAACCTGTGATAATTTCACTTTAAAAATCGCCACCATGCGCTCTTTATGGCTAAACTCACAATCACGCAGTCTAGTTCTACCTAACTGTGTCTTTATACATAACTAAATGTATACCCTGACAGAAGCCTCAAACGTTCTACACACTACGAGATATTGTAATGCAATAATACTCAATTATAACAACGAGAAAAACTTAGAAGGTTCTAGTAACATGACGGAGTAACACAACAATCGCCGATTCACAACAATTGACCTACACAACGTATGATTTGACAACAGTTATCTAAATCATAACACTCGCACTAAACTTAAACATTCGTGTATTATCTAACATGCTGTAAACTAGCACAAAGATTCAGATTGTAAGAGTACTTACTGAAGACGATCCCAACAATGAGCTTGTATGTTAATGTGATATCATATACTACTAACAATACAAAGGATACGGATTTAACTTTAACTCATTTATACCAGAATACTGTCTCTCTTTTCACCAAAACCAGATTGTCGATGTAAACTTAATGTAATCTCAAAAACTAGATAGTAAAAGCATCATCAACTTATATGATATAATGGTGATGACACGCCGTTTCTCAGTGTTTGTAAATGAAATTATGCTCAATGTTTTTTTTTGTTCTCTCTCTTATATATATATATATTTATTCATTTACACTAAAAGGTTTGAATGAAAAGTGATTCTACTCGACTTTTGTTATGACATTTTCGTTTAAACTAACGCACGAAATCAACTGCTGGATCAGTATTAAGTCATCTTTCACTGTCATGTTTGGGTAATGGAGCTATTACTCAAACACTGAGTTAAAACACTGGCCTCCAATGGACATATCAGCACAGAACGGTTGCAAATTTCCAACACAGTGTTATTATTATTTAAAGTTATGTTTAGTTTTCTGTTGTTAATCAGTTTATTTTCCGTTTGACAAAATGTATGACTGTAAGGTTTCAAGTAGCGAGTTTTATAATTTTGTCTTAACAGTTGTTTCTCTAACGTCATCCCAGCCCTTAAAAAAGAAATCCCTCATGAAAATATTATGTTCTACTTGTAGAGACGCCGGAATCACGAAACTGCCTGTTACTTTGTGTTTCAAAAGAATTGTAATGTAGTCAAACAGTTGCTTCTCCTACTCAGAAAAACTGGGCAGATGGGAGAATAAACAACTTCACAGACAATTGATGAATAGAGAGAGAGAGATAGGTATAAAAACAAAAGTGTAAAGAGAAAGAGATAGGTCAAAAACAAGTGTAAAGAGAGAAAGATAAGTGTAAACACAAAAGAGTAAAGAGATAGAGATAGGTATAAAACCAAAAGAGTAAAGAGAAAGATAAGTGTAAACACAAAAGGTAAAGAGATAGAGATAGGTATAAAACCAAAAGAGTAAAGAGAAAGATAAGTGTAAACACAAAAGTGTAAAGAGAAAGAGATAGGTATAAAAGCAAAAGTTTAAAGAGAGAGAGATAAGTATAAAAACAAAAGTGTAAAGAGAAAGAGATAGGTAAAAACAAAATTGTGAAGAGCGCTAGATAGGTATAAAAACAAAAGTGTAAAGAGAAAGAGATAGGTAAAAACAGAAGTGTAAAGAGAGAGATAGGGATAAGAACAAAATTGTAAAGAGAAAGAGATAGGTATAAAGACAGGTATAAAATATTTCTAATCATATAGTTATATCGGTCCTGTATCACATTAACACGTTACTTTAAAATGTTTCTGACTATGTAGTTATATCATTTATGTATAAAATGAACATACTTTAAAATGTTTCTAATCATATAGTTATATCGGTCCTGTATCACATTAACACGTTACTTTAAAATGTTTCTGATTATGTAGTTATATCATTTATCTATAACATGAACATACTTTAAAATGTTTCTAATCATATAGTTATATCGGTCCTGTATCACATTAACACGTTACTTTAAAATGTTTCTGACTATGTAGTTATATCATTTATCTATAACATGAACATACTTTAAAATGTTTCTAACCGTATAGTTATACCAGTTCGATATCACACGAACTTCTTACTTTATAATGTTTCTAACCATATAGGAATATCAATTCTGTAACAAATGAGCATGATAATTTGAGATTCGTTAGTTCATGTAGTTAATGTCAGTTCTTTATTGTATGAGCATGTTACTTTAAAATGTATTTTACCTCGTTATTATATCACTGGAAAATGACTGTAACTACTTAGGTAATGCATCTGTGTATCACATAATTTTGTTATTGGAACATGTATAAGGTTAGTGTAGAAAGTTTGTTGAAAGAGGTATTGTGTTGGACAGAGTATTTTGTAAATGTTTTACTGGGCTGCTAATAGAAAACATAGAGAGGTATTTCAAAAAAAAAGTTTTATTTGTTTGATATAGTCGCGTGTAGATACTGATACTGTGCTGCTGTTGACAAAGTCAGAGGGATTTGTGTCTCAGACACAGTAGTTGGTAGATCTGATACTCTGCTGCTTTTGACAACAGTGGAGGGATTTGTTTCTCAGACACAGTAGTTTATAGATCTGATACTGTGCTGCTTTTGACAACAGTGGAGGGATTTGTTTCTCAGACACAGTAGTTGGTAGATCTGATACTCTGCTGCTTTTGACAACACTGGATGGATTTGTTTCTCAGACACAGTAGTTGATAGATCTGATACTATGCTGCTTTTGAAAACATTGAAAAAATTGTTTCTCAGACACAGTAGCTTATAGATCTGATACTCTGCTGCTTTTGACAACAGTGGAGGGATTTGTTTCTCAGACACAGTAGTTGATAGATCTGATACTGTGCTGCTTTTGAAAACATTAGAAAAATGTGTTTCTCAGACACAGTAGCTTATAGATCTGATACTGTGCTGCTTTTGAAAACATTAGAAAAATGTGTTTCTCAGACACAGTAGCTT